AAATTTGAGGAAAAAAACTCTGGGATTAAAAACCAAACTTTGGGACTTATCTCTTGTCCAACAATGTAAGAAAGGACTCTCCCTCCATAGCCAACAGGTCACTGAAATGCCTCTCTTTCTATTTTGAAGCAAACTATGTGTGTGAGACTTGCTTTTCAGCTTTAAAGCTACTGAAAACATCATAGATCACATCTAAAAAAAAGTCAAGAGATTGAGCCAAACCCTCCCATTTGAGAGTTTTTTTTACTTTGTTCTGTTCTTCAATACTTTTGATGAAGCATTTGTTGCTCAGTAATAATATAATACACTGTTAAAAAATCGTAGTTAGTATTTTTATGTTGAACAACTGTTATAATGATAAAATATGGATAAAAGTAAAAATAATTCCCAAAGTTTGTTTATTTTTATCATCTGAGCCTCTGAATAGGCTAACGGCATTTTTCAAATCCAGCAAGTCAACAACAAAGGATGAAAGCTTAAAATTAAAAACAGCAGCTTTACTCTAGGATGTTCAGGCTTACTTTTATCTGCTGAAGTTTCTGCCTCTGTTTAAAAGAAAAATCTTTAATGACGAACCAACCAATGGAGGCAGCTGGATGAAATAAGACTTTCTATGGACTGCTTTAAGCATTAGAAATGTTGAGAAGCTCTAGGTAACATTTATGGACAAAAGGATTAAGTTCATGTAATGTTTTTGCTAGATGTTAGGCTCCTATGAATATTATTTTTGTAATTGTTATTTTGCTAAGGCTAACAATTAGGGGCCGGGATGTTGGAGCCTATTAAGAATTAGATTCATTTATTTTTTGCAAAATTATTAATGTTAAAGATCTAAGGTTGTGTGAATGGTAGAGCTATTGTTTATTTGTTTATGTATTGGTTTTGCTTTGACCCTCCTTGTCAGTCCGCCTCCTGCTGAGATTAACAAGTAGAAGCAGCTGATGAGGTGGATCTGATTGTTTGTTTGAAGGAGTGAGGAGTGCAACAGTTCACGTCACTTAACTTTATATTTGAATTTTTTGTAAGTCAACTCTGGGAATATTTCAGTTATTTTTTATAAGTAAAGAAAACACCCCTTTTTTGAAACAAGAAAATTCTCCAAGAGTGCTTTTTGTTTTGTGAGTCGAAAAACCTCCTCCTAAGACTACTCTGGCAATTTTTGTTTTTTTTTGGAAACTTTTTTGATGCAAGAGTAGCCGTAACAAAGGCCCTGTAGAATATTGTTTCCCATTGAAACGTTTGCTCTGTAATATTGTTATCTAAAACTGTCCTTGTTTAGTAAAAATGTTATCCAGAGACTTCAGTGTCAGATGTTAGTATCTGCAAATGCATGTTAGTGCCATGAAATCCTTTTTACAACTGCATTGTTGTTGTTTTTTTCTTCTTTTTTTCTCTATGGTAAGTTTAGCAGCATCTTAGGCTTTGGTGAAAGCTTAGCTTTTAAACAAATTACTGCTTTTTATTCTTATAAACAGTTAATGTAGAAAAAAAAACATCAAACATTTTACTGTTTGGATGCAATGTTTTTTTAAAGTTTAAACTTAGTGTTCTTGTTGTATGCAGTGACCTCTATTGGTGAAAACATGTTTATTAAAATAGGCTCAGGAGAGGAATCTAAATTCAGCAGACGTTCAGTTGAATTAACACAGCATACTTAGTAAATTACTGTTTCCTCTACAGTGTTTTCACATGTCAATCATTTAAATATAATTTCAGCTGCATTTCATCCGAAGTTATTTGGCAGAACAACATCGCCACTCCAACAGTGACCTGGACCAGAGACAGATTGAAGAGGACATGATAATTGAGGCAAACAGGTAAAGCATTAAGCATTGCTTTACTGCAGCTGTGAGTTTTCAGTTGTTAATATTATAGAAGAGTCTAAACCTGTATTCCTTTCATTGTGTACTGTAGATATGCCTTAGCATCACATTTCCTTTGGGGGCTGTGGTCCATCATTCAAGCTAAGATATCCAAGATTGAGTTTGGATATATGGTAAGGATTAGTTTTTGTTTTTCAGCACGACTGACATCTACTTTAGCAGCATTTAAAGCTTTTCTTCTATTTTTGTTCGTTTTTAAAATATTCAATGCAAACTCTTGATTGCAAAAAGAATTCTTTATGGTCCCAATCATTTATATTTTGTTACCAATGTTAAGGAAACAACACCTACAGTGTAATAACTTACTGAAATCCTGTAGCCACAGTTATATATGTATACTTCTCTATAACTGCCCATTATGCACGTCCAGCGTTGACCTCATAGTTTAGATTCTTGTAATCACTTTAAAGTGTTTTCTTAGCATCATTGAAGCTGTAGGTGCAGGATAAGGTCCTGTAAAGAACTTTTTAGGTTTCTCCATTGAGCAAACCTTTGCGGTTTCTAATTCAGAGCTTCAACTGTCTTTGTGTATAAAGAAGCAGCCTTTTGTCTTAAAAACCTGTATTTAGAACATGCATCTATTTTTTGCTAAATGCTAATCCTAATGCTTTCCGACTGCCTGATCATGGTTAAGACCTGGTCCAAGTGTAAACCTACCACTTTTTGATGCATGCGTAGACTTACTCTGAGGGGCAGTTGAAATCATCAGTTACTGCAAATTTTAAGATTCATCTAATCACACCCATCACTCACATTAAACTCTCATTTTCTGCATCTTATCCTGAAAACCATATATTTATTTTCCAACCGTAGCCTCTCAAGCTCTTTTATATGACTCAAAGATGCAGAAAGGCTCTGTCTTTTCACCTCAGAAATCCTGTGTTCCTTTATCTTTTTGGGGTTCAAGTCAGACATTTAAATTCCTTGTCTTTTACATTATAATCACCACTTTGTAAACTTTTTCTGTCTTTGCAGGATTATGCTCAGAGCCGATTTGATGCCTACTTCAAGCAGAAAAAGCTCTTCTCCTAAATCCCCTGGATCAGAAAAGCAGAATGTACTGTCTTGAACTCTTTTATCATCTTTCCAGCTCTGTTCATGCTTATGCAAAGACTTGATATGCTCTCTTTTAATGTCTGATTGTAGTTCGTCAATGTAAAAAAAAAAATTGCTTTTAAAAGATGCACAAATTCCGCTTCTGGGCTGGAACATTTACCTTTTAAGAGCCTCTGTTCTGTGGACCACTTTTCGACCTCTCTGCATGTTTAATCATTTTGCTGTGTTCTCCGCATGTCAGGGGTCAGAGGTCACTGAATGTCAGAGAATTACGGTCTTCACCTGGAACTGAAATTTGAATCAATTTTGGAACAAATCCAAACTACAGAGTTTCTGAAGTGGAAAGCTTTTGTGTAACCCTTTACTGTAGAGTTTTTACTAATTCTACCTAATTTTTCTTAATGTCCAGTCCACAATAGGATTTATACATTCTTCATTAATTCCCTCCAGACTGACTTTCTTGTGAGTTAAACACTCCATGTGCTATCTGTTGATAAAATCCAGATATTCTTATCCAGTTATTCCTCAGAACTCGGTAAAATATTAAAACCCATTCATGTTAAGCACACAGTAAAATAAGGGCTATTTCCTACAGCTTCACAGTTGTAAACAGCACTGCTTGTGAAACCATGAGAGGAATTGTAACGTTTACATTAACTTAATCCTCATTGTTGGTTTTCTTCAACACTCACAGCAGTTACTAATAGATGGTTTCTGCTTTACAGCCTTCTGTCATGCTTAAAGTATTTATGCATTTTTTTTGTTAGTATCAGCTAGTAATAACAGTTCATGAACTCAATTTCATTTTCAACACCATCTTTCAGGGTTGAGATGCATTGGAATATGAAAGAGGGTTTCGAACTTTCTGAATTGTTTCTAAAATTGTCTCTAAAAAGTGTTGTTGTTTTTTTTGACTGAACATAGACCTGTGAATTTTAATGATATATTTTATGTGTCCGGTTTTATTTAAAACTTTTCCTTTTGCAGTGTCACCCTATAACTACTTGTCTGGATATTTTTCTACTAATAAGAAAAAAAATCGTAGTATTAAAGGTCTTTGCTTGGAAACAGTATCACTGCTTGTGTGTGAGTCTGATTTATGGAAGTATAAAATGAGATTTTTTTATTAACTGTGACGTTAATCTTGCTTTAAACTGCAAAGTACACGGATCTATTCCTAAGTTGGAATATAATTAACTTTTTTACTGTATTAATTCAACTCTAAAATGAAACTGTTGCAAAGATCCAGAAATATTCAAACTATTTATCCACCGGATTTCTTTAATGCATACGTTTTTGCTCACCATAAACTCCACAATATTTGCACTCGGTGCTCTTTTGTTGATCCTCCATGAATACCTGCATCAGTGATGTGCTGCCTCAAGGTGCTCGGACAGTGGCTTTACTAAGATGTTAACATCCAGGTTTGTTTGCTCATGGTACGAAGCTCATCTGCTTTTCTAGCTCTTCTGTTCTTCGTCTTTCTCTCGACGATCCTCCATAGTTTCCATGTTTGCTCGATCAAACGTGATGATGCCACGGTCAATAAACCTGGATTTACATTTTCGGCATTATGTGAAGGTACCAGCAGTGCTATAAAATCACTGAGTAATCAAGTAAAGCTTAGCAGACGGGAACATGAAGGATTAAATGCTGTTTATTCAGCTATGCTGACTCTACACGATTATTATTTACATCCACATATGATTCACAACAATAACTGTCTATATAAACAACCAGTTAGGTATAATTTTCACGTATTTAACCTGATTTTGTAGGCTGCAAGTCATTTTGTACTGATTTACATTACCGGTAAATTAACGTTTTTGATTCTTATGTATTATAGAATTTGAGTTATTGGCCTCCGTTTGATGAATTTATATATAATGCAGCATTAGTTTCATTTGATAGAATTAGTGAAATAAATGTATCTTTCAATAAAACCTCAGTTTAATGAGATAGACCAGTTCTTTGAGGTACTGATGATGACGCTGAGAGCGACTCGGGTGCCATATTTATCCCACAGAGCTGACAGTTGCTCCGCCTACAAGATCTAAGAATAGCCCATCCAAAATGGACAGCTCTGCTTGAAGATCGAAGGACTCTGACAACATTTTCATCAAGTAAAGAACGGACAGATTTGCTGCAGAGGATTTTTTAAATTAATTTTACTTGCAGCTGTGTTTAATATCTATACCAATAGCTTTGATGTTGATGATCTAATGAAAACGCCCAGTTTCACTGTGGCTTTTTTTAGTCATAATGAACTGTCTGTATGTAGTCTGTTAAAGATTAGTTAAAAATTCTGGAATTTTGATTAAATCTTTATTTCATTTTCCACAACTTTAGATCCATACAGTATGATTAACGCAGTGATGCAGTGTTTTATAACACTCATTAAGGCCTTGATCGTATGCTTGAAACATGGTATTCAAAGACTGCTGGATGCTAACTCAGTTGTCATCAGCTGGTTAGTATCCCCCTTCGTCCCTAAAAGAAGATCACGTCAAGCAGAACCAGAGGAGTGGAAAACCAATGAGGCCCTTCGCACGTTTCATCCAGGAGATGAGAATGGCTTCAACGTTACAATCCAAACCAGCTCACATGCCTTCCATGTGAGTAAACTCCGCTGTTTCCAAACTGGATGAGCTTCTCAAAATAAATGATCATTTATTTCATAAAGGTGGACCTCCAAAGGCTTTCAGAGTGCAGCGAGTACTTCAGAGCACTGTCCCAATCCAGGATGAGAGAGACGTCAGAAAGACTCATTCATCTGGAACATGTATCCTCTGACATTTTCTACAACCTCCTTATGTTCTGCTTCAATAATGATTTTAAAGTTCCTGCAGAAGAATTGGAGGAAAACATTCAGGTATCCAGTCAAATATGAACCTTGGTCAATGATCCATCTAAATCTAGTAACTCTTGACCTTCCTGCTCCTTAGGTGGGCAGCTATCTCCTGGCTGAAGCCTTCGTCTCCAGGTGCCTGTTAGCCCTGGCACATCAGCTCACTCCGTCTAACTGCTTATCATACCTGAGACTCGCTCAGGATATTTTCTGTGTAGAGATGAAGAACACAGTGCTCCTTTATTTGAGTGTGAACCTGCTGGAGCTGCCACAGATAATGAGGTAGGCGCAGATAGAATTCACAGGTTTTCTAATACCTCTGAAATCCCTGAGACCGATCTGCACATCAGGTGTCTGAGTGATGAGGAGAGGGAGGAAGTCATCAGCCTGAGAGTCAAAGGAGAACGACGTCTGTGCAGCTTCAGGAAAGAAAACCTAACTTCTTGGAATGACCCGGAAACAGAAGCTGCTCGGCACATTTTCACCATGACTGGGTCAGAGGACAGTGGGGATTGGCACGCTGTTACAGAACTCCCCTTTAGGGCGGATAAGTGGTGTTTTACTGCAGTGGTGCTGTATAACTACCTGTATGTCATAGGAGGCTACAGGCAGCGTCTGAAGAGAGGCTGGGAGTTCACCATGGCTTCCTATAGATATAACCCCTTTAAAAACTCATGGGTGGCTACATCACCTCTGATAAAGGTATAACAGTCCTGTGGGTCTAAAACCTCACTGCATTTCTTCTTGTTACGTCATTCATGTATTAGCATTAATTATCTCCATTTTCTGCTTCACAGCACAGAAGGCACTTCAGCGCGGTGGCCGGTGGAGGCTTCATTTATGCGGTTGGGGGCTGGTATTTAGATTCGCTGGTGACTCCAGACTCCGGCACAGCTCTATACACAGCTGTGGAGCGCTATGATCCCTGGGAGGACACATGGAGGTTTGGACTCTGAGGTGTCAAAAGTATTCATGTTTTTTATAAATCCTACTGTTTAAAAACCTTTTTGTAAAAGAGTATAAACTTCAGATTTTTACTCCGGTAAAAGTGTAAAACTAAAATTTTTAAAACAACTTGAAGTATAAAAGAAGAAGTAATGCAGGAAAAAAGGACAAATGCTTTAAACCTTATACTGGTTACTATAATACACTATTAAAGGAACTTTTTTTCCCCAATTCTGGCTGATAACTTCCTTATACTTAATTTTTTTAGTTATGTAACTAATTGTAACTCACATTTTTCTTTGCATCCTAGTAAAAAAATATTTATTTTGGTATGTGGCGAACAATGTGTTGGTGAATTACTGAGTCCAACCACAAAAAAATTGTTTTAATTGTCTTAATATTGATGATTTTTATTTTTTCAAATACCATCCATCTATTTTCCATCACGCTTTATCCCAAGCAGGGTTGCAAGGGGTGCTGGTGCCTATCACCAGCTGTCAATTGGTGAGAGGCGGGGTACAACCTGGACAGGTCCCAGTCTGTCGCAGGGCAACACAGAGACAAACAGGACAAACATCCATTCATCCATTCTAGAGAAGCCAATTAACCTAACAGTCATGTTTTTTTGACTGTGGGAGGAAGCCGGAGTACCTGGAGAGAAAACCAGGCATGCTCAGGGAGAACATGCAAACTCCATGCAGAAAGACTCATGGCTGGGAATCGAACATTCTTGCTGCATGCACTGTGCAATCCTTTTTTAAATCCCTACAGGCCATAACGAAAATTAGCTTAAATGAAACAAAACTAATAAATATATTTTTATAATGTAAGGAGTAGAAAGTAGAGATAAATAACAAAAAAGAGGAGTAAAAAGTTGTCTAAAAAATAATTACTCCAGTAAAGTATAGGTAGCCAAAATTTCTACTTAAGGTAACAAAGTATTTGTACTTTGTTACTTGACACCTCTGGACTCTGTGGAACAGCCAGTGATGTGCGGCACTGCCAGCAAAAAGTTCACATTTATAGAAAAGTATATGATGTAGAGTTGAAACAATACAATTTAAAAGAGCAGTATTGGCATCCCCCTGATCAAGTTTTTAAGGACAGTTTGTAAAATGTGGTTAGAATAGAAAAGATTGACTTTTTAGAAAGCCTCAAATAGAAAAGAGAACATTGGACAGTTTTAAGTTCCATCTGGACAGTGATCCTAAATTATCAGCATTTTCAACCTGCTTAACTGTTTCTTTGCCAGACAGAGCCATCCAGTTAATTAACTGTTACCTTTGCTAATATAGAAAGTATTTGTAGATCAGTGCTTATATTTCCCTTTTCTATGTCTGTTTCTATGTATCTTCTTAACCCAAGGTCCGTCTTGGCAGATGGCTGCTCAAGCTCAGCCTGGTTCTGCTGGAGGTTTCTTCCTGTTAAAAGGACATTTTCCTCTCCACTTTCACTGCATGAATCCTGGGTGTTAGGGATTGCTACACAATGCAATACAAGCCGAATGTCTACTGTTGCTACATGCTCGTCCAAGAGGAATGAATCCTGAAAAGTCGAAAACTGGAAGCAGTCAGCTGGGTTTCCTCACACAGAAAACTTTTCACCAACCTGATTATATGATTAAATTGCATTGTGTCTGTAAAATGCCATCAATTTAACTGAATTAATAAAAACTGCTTTAAAATGTTCATTATAAAGACAAATATTAAGAATTTAGGTTTTACCTTCCCTCTAACCCTTTGAACTAAACTTTAAAATCAGCTCCACTCCAGAAAAGGAACCAGCAAAGCATCTAGTCAGAATTAGACCCAAAGACTTGCTGACAGCAAAAGTCTGCATCCAAATTCTCTGTAACTTACTATGAAATGTAACTATATAGTATGCATAATTATGAACAAGCTTTGATTAGTTCACTTATTCCAATTAGAAAATAAATATCTGGAATATCCACGAAGTGGGATTTTGAGCCAAATTAAATATATTAAAACCCCAAAATTAAATATTTGTGCCAATTAAATGTCTGCAAACTTCTGACAGACATATTAAGCTACTCATTATGATGTTCCATGTTTTAGAAATGCATCCTTGAGTCGTTTGCATAATTTCTGTTCTAGGTTTGTATCTTCATTACCGCTGACTGACTTCCAGTTCACGATGTCCTTATCCCATGATGTCCCCCTCACTACCAGCCTTGGAGAGTGTATCTATGTGCTGGGAAGCATCCAGAGGACAGGGGAGAAATTACTGCTACAGTATGACACAAAGCAAGGTGCACAAAACAAAACCACAACTTTCCTTCCCTGCTTCTTTTCCCCTTCTAGTTGCTCTCTTTGTTTTGGTTCCAAAATTGGCCTCAAACTACACAACTTAAATCTAGATTAGTTGTTTTTAATCTGTGCTATCCTTTTTTGCTGCAGATTCATGGTCTGAACTGCTTCCTACTCTGACAAGAGCTGATGCAGACCTTCTGACTCTCTACTTCCTGGGAGCTGCTGACAAGCTGCTTGTGATTGGTGGAAACAACACAAACAATGTGGTGACATCATTCTGTGTGAAATCTAAAAAATGGGGGCAGGTAAATATCCTATGATTTTATCTAATCCATTTAAGAGTGTTATCTGAGCACAGATGTGCTTCCCATATAATTCTGATACGTTGTTCTTCTTTCACTTTAGATCTACAGGGCAGAAAAAGTATCATATGTCGGACAGGGGACACTTGTAGATGAGCAGCTCCTGATGCCCAGTATAGAGCATAACACAGTCATAAGGATGGATCTCCAAACCCTAACCATCAGTATTCTCCCACCTTTACCTATACCAACGCGCTATGAAGCTATCTTTTACCTTTACTTGTAATTCTCAAGCTTACTGGTTTACTAATACTTTATATTATGTAACTGTTTTTGGATAATTATGAGAGGAACTTTAAAGTCGTTTAAAGCGTGAAGATATTTCTGCTTAAGCTTTTTCTTAGTTTTTTGTAAAGTGTTTTAAACCTTTCCAGGGGTTTTTGTCAATTCCAGTGGCTCACCCTAGAATGTGCTAACCTCCTTTTTTTACCTTGGGATTTATATGTCTAAGCAGACTGTGACATTATTTTCTCTCTGATTTGTTGGGATTTGTTTTCTGTTAAGTCTTTGATGAAACTGATATCATTGTGCTTAAAGAATTTATCTTTTCTGCTGTTGGTGCCTATCAAGTCCACGTTAGAGTTAATGTACTTGTTTTTTACTGTGTAAAAAAAAAAAATAAGCACCACTAAACACAGCCAATAAGCTACTATAGTCTAGGAACAATAGAGGTAAGAGATGGTGGAGTCAAAATAATAAGAACTGACTGGAAGAACTTAGTTCTTAAAGTGTTCACAAACTGTAGTCAGTAATAATTCATGCCTAAATGGTCTTTATATTTCTGCTATTTCTAAAATTAGACCCTTCAACAAAACAATGAAGGATTGATGGACTTTACAGAAGTGTGATGGACCCACCAGGCAAAGAGCCCTGAGGTTTTTTTTTTATCAGTTCAAAACAATACAAGAACATATATATGAATCACAAATAAAAACTGATGGTGAACAACAAGCTATTGGGTTTAATATAAAAATAAACAACAAAAAAAGGGGGCAGAACCATAGATTTAAGTACTTTGAACAAATCGCTTTTTGCTAATTGTTGTGAGATTGTTCTTGCAGTTTTCAATTTCTTTTTATTTTACATAGTAATATATAATACATTTTAATTTGTTGACAAAAAAGGGAAAAAAAAGATTTATTTCCTGCCCTCTTGTCTAAGTGTCTTTAGTGACCCACCTTTCAGACACTTACCCGGTGTATAGGGCACTGCAGGCTAACAAAAGAAGCCGAACGACCCATATTCCAAAGGGGTGGACCCCTTCGTCTGGTCCAATTTTTATGTTATCAAAACAAAAACAAGGCTTTGTTGGGCTGCTGTATAAAACCTCGAACTCAACTCTATTCCTGACATTTTTAATTGAAAAAGCTTCTCGGGTGGGAAGCAAAATGTCTTCAAAAGTTGGAAACAAAATCCAGTGGATTATTTTTGATTTTTTTATGTTTTTTTTGGAAGGAGTTGAGCTATTTTTCAGAATATGTTACTGGAAGACTTTAAATAAAAAGTAAAAATGGAAGCAGAGGTGTAAGAGTAAGAGTAAAAAAAAATAGTTTAACTTTTTTTACCCAAGTCAAAGTAAAAAAGTATTCAGTACAAAGGCTACTTGAGTACTAAGTAACTGTTGGATACTAACATCAGATTTAATGTTTATAAATGATGCTGGCAAACAGACTTTATATGTAGGCTTATAAAGAGTCAAACGCCTAAATAATACAAATAAATGTCATGAAAAAAGAACAGCAGATTTTTGCAGAAGAAATACTTTTACCAATTATTTTAATAACAAAAAAGAAGACTAATCCCTACAATGATAACTGTATATATGTTAGGACAGGGTAATGGACTTCCACTGTTAATATTTACTGTTTAGTTTATGTTTACCTGATTTTGGAATAAATTAAATTACTTACAGAGGAGAGAGTAGTCAGAGATTTTACTCAAGTAGGAGTAGCAATATTTTACAAGAATATTACTCAAGTAAAAGTAAGAAGTAAGGCACATTAAACCTACTAAATGTAATTTTTTCTCAAATTGTTACTCAAGTAAATGTAACTGAGTAAATAATTATTAAGCACCTCTGAATGTAAGGGAACATTGTCAAGATGAAACAAGTAGAAAAACCTCAATCATGCAACTGGAATCCAAATAAAGAAAGAGCATATTAACATGTTCAGCATCAATTTATATAATTAGTAACCTTGCTGTGTCAAATAATATTTTATTGGCGAATTAGGTGAAATGTCACATGGATCAGATTCAGTTACGTAGCAGGGTTCTCAGAGAACACCAGGTCAGGCGCGCTCTATGTTTGGTGTCTGGTTTCAAAGAGAGGCAAGTTGTGGGTGAGAGGGGACAAGGAGAGGTAGTCTGGGAAGCACAGGAAGCAGCTACTTTGCTCACTACCTGAGTAAAGCCACTTCAAGGACACAGAACATACAAGCTTCAGTAAAGAAGAATTTCACTGCCTCTGTCCTGTAGACCAAAGTCTCTGCTTTCCTTTGGTGTGTAGGTCTCTGTCTGGCCTGAAAAGGGTAAAGTATGCTCCTGCTCTTTATAGAATTTTTATTTTAAACAGTGGGAGATGAACTTTAGGTTTATCCATATATTTGTCAAAAAGATAAACACGGAAAAATGACATTTTTGGGTGTGCTGCTTGCTTTCTTTGTAAAAGGAATCTATTTAAGATGACAGTAGATAATCTAAAAAAATATATATATATAATTTGAATATATATTTTACAATTTGCATAATATCAATTGCTTTTGCAACTTACTTTGATAAAATGAACTTGATTTTTGCAGAGTATATAGATTTTCCCATCCATAGCTGCTTGTGCTCTGTTTATATTTCCATTCCTATCTGAGTCCCTCTGCACATGCTCTCTTGATGTACCACTATATTGGGCCATTGAACTTTGTCCCAGTTGGTGACTGTTCAGTCATGTGACATGGAAAAAGCCATTCCAGGTCTGCCACTCAAAACATAATGTGCAAGGATGTTGGTAGTCCAAACATTTCTAGTAAGGTTTTATGAAGGACCTTGCATTTTTATTTGAATGAGTCATTTTAACTTTATTGTGTACAAGTTTATTCTATAAATACAGATGTCTGAACTGCAGCACCTTCCAGTTTTAAAACTACACAGAAAGTATTAAGCAAATTTTATTCTAAGTATCATTCACAAAAAGCTATTTAACAGACAAAACATGAGGATAAATTACTTTTTTGTTTACTGATAACCAATAAAATGCCAACTGAGCATAAAAACAAACATAACTTGTTGCTAAAGTGGAAAATGTGAAACCTTGAAATGCAAAATCTCCATAATAGGTGCTAAATACCTTTCTGTGTGCACCCCCCTTTGCAATTACGGTATTAGCATCATTGTTAAGAATATAGTTTAAAAACCGGAAGCAAGCTGTTAGATCGAAAATAGAAAATAAAGTAACCTTTACAATAATAAAGTGTGGAAAATAATCCAAACTTTTAGAATTATAAAAGCCCTAAAAAGGTAAGACATGCTTTGAAGGGCTGACCAAATTCTATTTTTGTGATATATAGCTTGCATATACGTATATAAATATAGATTCTGTATATTCATGTGCAAAATAGAATTAGAGTGGTGATCAAGGAGATTTGTAGGGAAACTGGTGATTCCTGGCATGACTGATGTTTTTTGGGACCAAAACTGAATATTAAATGGCCATAAATTTGGTTCAGTATAATGCTTATAAGTTGTCAAATTAAATCAAAAAGTGGTATAATAAATCAAGATTAATACTTTTATTCCGAGATTGATCAAACATGTATTTTGAATATGGCAGGCAGAAGTTACTATACACACAATTCCCATTTCATGTGTTTTGACATCCAGAACATTTCAAAATTTAGATTTTTTTTAATTAGTTTTTGTTTTTGCGATTCCCTTCAGCACTCCACAAAATCACTTTTCTCTTGTGTATAAATATAATATTATAGATAAGACTTTTCTTTAAGCCATTGTTTACAGAAAAGACAAAAATGGTTTTTTCCTCTATTTAACCCATGAAGCCATTAAAATAAAGGATATACTTGCCCACATCTACAGTCAGAGCAGTGACTTAAAATAAAAATAAAAAAAATTTGCAAAGAGTTAAAAAATTAATTCCATGGTTCTCCATTAGCTTAGCTTACTTATTCCCTAAAACAACAAATTTCTTTTAAATTTGTCTTTGTTCAAACAGTTGCTAAGGTAATTATAAATATGCATCATGCATTATTTAAGTTTTTAAATGTAATATGCAATTGAAAAAAATCAGAGAATAAATAACCGAATCCTGAAGTTGTTTTTTGTTTTTTTGTTGTTACCAGTGTCAGTAATATAGGAAAATGGCTGAGGCTCATCAGGCAGTGGGCTTTCAGTTCACAGTGCGCCCAGATGGTGTGGACCTGAAGCTGAGTCAGGAAGTTTTAAAAAACATCTACCTGTCAGGAGTGACTGCCTGGAAGAAGAAAGCCATTCAATTCAAGGTAAAATTAAATCTGCATATTATTTATGTTTAATAAATTTGCTATCAGTGTATAAGAATATAGGTGAGTCAAAGTGTTTAAAATCACAGACCTCATCTTTTCCTTCAGAGTAGATAATAAATAAAATAAATACTTATATTTTTATCTTATACAGAATGGAATACTGACTGGAGTTTACCCTGCCAGTCCTTCCAGTTGGCTGATAGTTGTGATTGCTATGATGAGTTCCTTATACACTCGCATAGACCCCTCTCTGGGAATGATAGACACCATCAAGGGGAATCTTCCATACAAGTCAGTAGCCTTCACAAACTAAAACATTCATGGCATGCATAGCTGTGTTAAAATATTAAAAATTGTGTTTAAGGGTATGTACTGTACATTTCTGTGTCCGTGGCTCCTCAGCTCTCTATCTTTAACTATAAGATTCTGCACCTACTTACAGAGGCTTCATTTGTTTTTTTTTCTGAACAGAGTCTACATGCAAGTGCAGACCAGAGCAGTTGTGAGTGCCATCCTGTTTGCCACAGGAGTCTGGCTGTTTTTCATCTATCTCATGAGATTCACTCTGAAGACTCTTCTTTCCTACCATGGTTGGATATTTGAATCCCATGGAAAAATGAGCACATGTACAAAACTGTGGCTGGTATATTTCCCTCATTGAAATTTACAATCTTAATCATTTTACTGCATGCATGAATGATTGCACTCTGCATTAAACTAAGATTTAAGGAACCTGCTAAGAAGCATTATACATTGTATGTTGTACATCTGATAAATTAGTTATCATTAATTCATGATTGGTATCATTTTGATTTCATCCAGAGCCTGGTAAAGATGATTTCTGGACGAAGGCCCCTGCTGTACAGTTTCCAGGCTGCCTTACCCAGACTCCCTGTCCCCAGAGTGGATGATACCATTCAGAGGGTTTGTTCAATAAGCACAAGCAACATTACTGTTTTAAATCAAAACACCTTTTGGGACAAGGGACAAGAATACTATAGAAAGAACTAGGATTTTTTTATTATACATATTTTGTATTTAAACCATACTATCTAAAAGTAACTTGCTTTCAATAACTTTTTAAAATCAAACACAAACCTTAGTGGATTGTATTAGGATTTTAAAGGAGACGTCCGGGTCAGCAAGAAATTATAAATAGATCATTATCTATACCTAAAACTGATACATTTGTGGTGATTTTATGAATTTAGAGTTAATCAGTAAAAAAATAAAAAAATTATAATTTTTGTTGCGATCATGGGACCGGCCTGTTTTGCACAAATACAGTAACATTTCACTCCTGACATCTTCCAGCAGCTATGTCACGGTGCAGTAAGCCTAGCTCCATTCTACCCGGTTTACAAGCAAAATCAGTGAGAACTACTAGACACATATGCAATCAACAGCAATTATTTAAGATTTCGAGAGTTCACCATTGACATTTGCAAGAGCTATAGTTAAACTGACAATACCCATGTGAATGGAAGTTGGATGTTGCACTACATCAGGTAAAAGTGAAAAAAAAATGTTATTTCACCTTTTCCATTCATGATCCACAACGGGTTCGTCATTTGATTGCCGACTTAAAGAGGGAGGATTTACCATCGAACTTCTGGCCAGAGAAAAAACACGTAATATGTAGCCAAAATTTCAAATAAAAATGTTTTCAAGATGACTTAATAAGATAATAGCGCAATGTGACAAACACCAGATACAGCAGTGGGACTTGATCAACAGACAATACCGCACAGTGACGTCACAGACCTGTAGGTGGCAGTGGTGTTCTTTGACAAACATGGATGCCTCCGGTAAAGCATATTCAAATGAAATGCACTCTTAATTAAAAACACGTATAATTTATTGAACAGTGTGTAATAATTTTATATTTAAAGTACTTTCAGAAGTTTGAATTCTGAGTATGACCTGACTTTTCCTTTAAATGAACACAAGCTAATGGCTGTGAAGTTAAAATATTTTTATTAAAATATTTAGCAAAAATGTACATGTAGTCACTAAACCACCTGCAATCCTACACTCCTAAATAAATCACTGTAAACCCAAATGCCATCAGTGGGAACATAATTAGCACACAGACTACAATAGTGTCTGATTCAATTTAAATAAAATTATAGATTTTTTTAAAGACTTAAAAGCATCCATTCTTAGATGACATTAGAAAAAAAAGGCACACAATAAGTAGACCACTCTACTTTTTGCCCAAGCACAACCATAATGTTGTTTTGGTTTGTTATTATTCCAAATTTAGACATCCTGTAGGATCTTACTCTTTGATGATCTCCTCCTTGGCCATGCTGGGGTTGAAATTAGGCCTAGGATCTTTATTAGAAGATGCCTTTAAGCTGATAGGTCAATGGATACAAGTAGAACTATGATTTTACAAGAATACTTCCTTTGCTGTATAAAAATTTATTAAAATAATGGGTGTGTATGTATTTAATGATAGTAGTAAAATCTTTTTTGATTTTAGAAAGACTCTTATTAAAATGTCTTACCATAAAAAACAAATGTCAAATAACAAAAACCAAAGCTATATCCTTAGAGGCAAGACCTAAAATAAATAAACAGCCTGTTTTAAGATGTCAAAAAGCTTAGATTCTGACCACAATTTTATGCTCTAATTCAAGGCAAAGACTAAATTCACACCCATTCCTTCACATTGAACCTGTACCTGGCACTATATTTTGGTAGTTCCCGTTACAATTTTTTTTTTCTTGCTCCTTCTCTTCCTTGAACACTTCCTGCTCCTCATTCTACTGTCCCTTCACCACCCCATCCTCACATGACATTATTCAGTTCCTGTGCGTGGATGCCATGACCATGACTTACACAGACCTTGTTAGCTGTTAAAGCAAAAACAGGATCAATGATAAACATTAGAAAATTCCCAGTGTATGGGCACAAATATAGAAATCAACATGAGGAATGTTCTATATATGTAGTGAGGACCATGTTTTAGCTTCCATTAGGACTGAAAGAATTAATCGTGATTAATTGATTATTGAAATAATCGTCAACTAGTTTAGTAATAGATAACTGGAGTGTAGAGACTCTAAAAAGTGCATTTAGCTGACAGGGCGTCCCACCTTGAACAGCAATTATACCAAAATTGTAAAACAAGGTATGTAAACAGGTTGCATATATTATAAAGATCTTTTTCATCTGTTAATATGCTCTATGCAGAACTCCTCAAGTGGAAATGTTTTAATTTCAATTGGTTTAATTTCTCAGAAAGTGTTTTTTTAGGAACCTTTTGCTATCCGATTATTAATCGATTAATTGAAAAAAAAAAATAATTGACAGATTCATCAATTTGCAGAATAATCATTACTTGCAGCCCTAGCTTCATGCTCTAACCCTGACATTAAACCTAAGCATTACCAGTGCAAACCTCACTTTAGTCTTCACCTAATTCAGACCTTAGTCCTAAACCTCATCCTAAAGCAAAAAAAGGAAGTGAAGGCCAGCTAAATGTACTCACTTTAGTACAACGGGTCCTCAGTTTTATGGTAAAATCAGCAAAATTGCAAGATGGGAGCAAGCACACACACAGCAAGAGAACTATGCAACTTATGTGTCGTTTTATTCAGCTGCTAAAAATAGCTATATTAATGTAGAAAAAGAACTGAAATACAGCCTGTTATTTTAATTTATTTTTTTTCCCCTCTGAGCACAGACACAGTTGCGTAGTATACAGTATCTGTTTTCTGGTCAACTAAGTTTGGATTTACATTAATTTCAATTGTTAAAGCGGATTCATCATTAATAAATGCATAGTAATAATGTTGTTTGTACCCTAAACACTCAAACATGCAATATGCCACTTTCAGTTAGAATTATAAGGCCATGGCATTATTTGCTGACCTGTTGTAGCCATGCTGCTTGGTCCGGTGTCGTCACTAGTCTTGATGCTTGACCTTGGCCTTTCCAATAAAGGTGGGTTAATGTTGCACACCTGGCTTCATTCTGCACAAACTGTCTCTACTCCATCCATCTCTGTCTTCTTTCTCCACTGTATCTTTGCTAGTTTAAACCGCTCCAGTTTATTTCCTGTGTTTCATATTAATGGAGGTCAGAGGACCCTCTGACCTCCATTGATATGAAAAATTTCCGAATGACCCAGTCTGAAGTTGTACTGCGCTCCATGCGGACATGAGAATGGCTGTGAGCCCAAGCAGCGACGTGATTTTATGGGGTAGAAAAAAAAAAAACACTTTGACCACCAACCGGTTTGACCTGACACAGACCGGATGTTCAGGAATCATTCCTATCTTCCCATGCTCACTTCATCTCCGTCCTCCCTGTTTATCTCTAATAGCCTCAGAGGCAGATCTAGGATAGCCTAACCAGTCACTGGCCACCCCTACCATACTGGTTTAATTAATTTGGAAAGGAAAACAAATGTGCCATTTCATTTTCCGATTAGTACATTGTTAGGTTTTCCTATCAGTTTTATTCCACCCTTTAGTGCACCTTGGTCCCTTTCCGGCCACCCCAATGAAAATTGTATGGCTCCGCCACAGCCTACTTTTGATTCCAGCATTAGTTTAATGGAAACCAAACATGCAAAGGTTTAAAAAAAAAAACAATCTCCTTTTTGCTGCTTCCATGTTTAGCCCCATGCACTGTTTATGTCGGCTTCAGTTTGTGTAAGGTGTGAAAATCTGTTGTGCTACTATTGCTAGTTTTTGTATTAATAGGCTCCATTTTCTCAACTTCAAGCTATGAATCTTTCCCTCAGTATCTAGAATCAGTTCGCCCTCTGCTGGATAGCAAACAGTACAACCGAATGGAGATTCTGGCGAATGAATTCAAAGAAACTGAGTCAACGCAGCTCCAGAGGTACCTCATCCTGAAATCTTGGTGGGCAACAAACTATGTGAGTGAATTTTACACACTGTATGAAATGAAATCTCAAGTTTAGTGAATTTGAGTAAAGCATTGTATATCTTTAAATATGTTTAAAGGTAAGTGACTGGTGGGAGGAATACATCTACCTGAGGAGCAGAGGTCCCATCATGGTCAACAGCAACTTTTACATCATGGTAAGTTACAACAAGGCTATGTCTGCTCTTTAATAGGGACCATAAGTTATATATACATACAGAAGCAAACACAAATATTGGAGAGTAATGAGGTCTGAAAAGAGCCACTATTTTGACATCTGGTCTCCAAGTAATGGTTTGATGTGCTTGTTTGAAGGACCTCTTGTATATGACCCCAACACACCGGCAGGCTGCTCGGGCAGGAAATGTGGTTCATGCCATGCTGCAGTACAGGCGTAAGCTGGAGCGCGGTGAACATGCACCGGTAAACTGCTTGTTTTATAAACCTTTCCTTGTTTTCAAACAAACAAACCAATGGCAAAAAGATGTGGAATCACAGCTCCATGACGCTCTGAAAGTTTAAAGAAAACACAGTGTTGAAAGTATTGTTTGATTTTTTTTTTCCAAATAAGAGTTTATTTGAGTAGAGAGTCAAAATAAAATTGACAAGAAATCAAAGACTTTTATAATGCTGCACTTCCTCTAGCATTTCTGACATCCTTATCCTTTTACCCAATAAAATCTTGTTTTCTTTTGCTTTTGCTCTTACAGTTGGCTCCTCTGCATTTCTGCAAAACTCATTTTTAACTCAGTTTTCTTTTATTTTTCTGCATTTTATGTTTGCATTGTAAACTCTTTTATAACTCTCTTATAATTTGATGTCCTCCATGGTCAGCTTGGATCTCCTCCTGTCACAGCTTTTAACATTTTTGTTTCTTTCTCCAATTTTTACTCACATCTAACTGGGAATGGTAACCTTCTTTTACCACCCACCACATTTATTTACCTTGAGGTCCAAAAGCTTTCCAGTATACTTGCAAGCTATTTTGCATGAATAGACAAGTGCAGGCATTTGTATTAAAAATGCAAATAATGGTAGAATTTTATCCTCAAATAGAACTAAAAAAAAAGTTCCATTGATTCAAATCTGGTCATGATTTAAGTAATTTTAGGTAGAACTTGCCAAACAGCCTCACAGAGTACGGATTCCCTATTTATTTGTGAAGGTTTCGTTTGATTCTTAAGCCCAGATTGATGATGAATATTTCTCCATCATTTTTCTTCTCAGCTGAGGGCTTTAGGGACGGTTCCAATGTGCTCCACCCAGATGGAGAGAATGTTTAACACCACTCGTATCCCTGGTATAGAAACAGGTAAGGATATTAGCAGGCTTGTTGATGCATCTCTGCTCAAAGAAACATGAATCAAATTAATGAATTGTTGATTTGGTGACACACCGAGGAAATAATTCAGCCTTTTGATTCAGGTGTGTTGGAGCAGGGATGCGTCCAAAAGGTGGCGGGTGCATGACACTTGAAGACTAGAGCTTTTAGAGCCCTGCTATATCCAATCAGGCTTTTCAAAGCAATAACAAAATTTTTATTTATGAATTAAATCTTCCTAAATTGCTGTGCTTTTGAGTAAATTTCTTTAAGTATTGTAACTTCCCCTGACTCCAGCAACTGCTGCTCATATTGTCATCTTCTTTTCTGCTGTAGTCTTTCTCTCTTAGTCCTAGATATTGTTAACATGTAATACATTTACTCTGAAGCAAATAATATAAAACTATAAACAATTAAGAGAATAGGAAAAGAAAAAGCAAATGTATGATGTATTAAATTGCCAGTAATTGCATGTAATTAAATGCTCTTTTGAAATACTGGCTGGTTTTAACTCCAATGGGGGGAGCAATGTGAAATCTTAAAAAAAAAAGTTAGAAGAGTAAATAGCATGTTGGTCACCTGACTGCTGTTTTCTTCCTGAATGTCAGTCCACTCTGCTTTAGGATCCAGCAACCTAAATCGCTTGCAAAACTGTAACACATTTACCTCAAGGCATATAATGAATGGAGTTATATTCAAGCAAATACTCTTCTATCTGAAGATTTTGTACTCCAGATTCTCAAGCTGGCCAGAAAACTAGAAGTATAGAAGAGTCCTGCAGGGTATGGATACTTTTAAAATTAATCTGCCTTAATGCATTTGTTTTATTTGAAAAAAAAAATGCTGAAACAGGATAAAAAAAATCTATTTTCAGAAGTGCAGCTTTGTTCAGGCATAAGAACATTGTAAACTGCAGCTTAGTCCTGTTACTATCTCAATTACTGTCATGCTCGGGTGTCAGGATCAAAGTGCAGACAGACACTTGGATGCATCGTCATTAGATAATTTAATAAGAAGTTATGGCAGCAATGAATAGATGTGAAGACATAAGTAGAACTGAGGAGCTGAATGCTTATAACAAACTGGCGGCTTAGGGATTGAGGAAATCGGGTGCAAAGAATGAGAGGAGAAAGAGGAGGAGACACAGGTGAAGGGAATCTACTTATTAACAGAAAGCCCTGCCTGAGGGCTTTCAAGAGAAAGAATAGAAAAGACTGGGAAAAAGGTAAACACATAGAGCTGATACAGCATACCACCAAACATCCAACAATATTAGAATACAGCACATTGTGATTAACCAAAACAAAACCCAAACTTGCATATCCTGACAATAGGGTGTAAAATGTCCAAAATATTTTCATTATATACAGGAACCTATTATTTAACTAGACATTTTTACATTATTTTCCATTTCTCTTGGTAACGACTTGTGTGCAGATATTGTGCAGCACCTGACAGACCGAAAGCACCTAATCGTCTACCACAAAGGGCGCTTTTTCCAAGTGTGGTTGTATATCGGGGGGCGCCACCTCTTACCCAGTGAGCTGGAGACCCAGTTTCAAAGGATTCTCAATGATCCATCAGAACCACAGCCAGGAGAACTGAAACTTGCAGCTCTTACTGCAGGAGCCCGGTATGTCTAAACACACAGGATGCAGAACCACTCGCCTGCTTTATGTAAACTTATTCTTACTCTCTTTTCCAGGGTTCCTTGGGCACGGGCTCGGTTGAAATACTTTGGCCATGGAATAAACAAAGTTTCCCTGGATGCTATTGAATCTGCTGCATTCTTCCTGACACTTGATGAGGAACCACAGGGTTATGACCCAGCAAAGGTTAACTCACTTGATATTTACGCCAAGTCCCTGCTGCATGGTAAATGTTATGACAGGTGGGTAGTAGATTAAGACAGGGGAAGACCCCTGCTCTGGGCTTCAGTAGAAGCTAACATTTTATTGCTATCTGAAAAAAATAGAAAAATGTGATCATGTCTTCCAGGTGGTTCGACAAGTCTTTCAACTTAATCTCATACCCAAATGGAAAGATAGGAGTCAATATTGAGCACTCTTGGGCAGATGCCCCCATTGTTGGACACATGTGGGAGGTATAAGGAGCAATTTAGTCCTGAAAATCAAGAAGGTTCTTGTTTCTAGTTGCTCCTTAGCTGTAACTGGCTTGTGTTTGGTAGTATGTTCTTGCAACAGACTGCTTTCACCTGGGCTACACAGAGGAGGGCCACTGCAAAGGGGACATGAACAGGGGCCTTCCATGTCCCACTCGACTACAGTTTCAGATTTCAGATGAGGTATTTTAAAGCTTTACTGATTAGTAAAGTAACCGAGCATTAATTGTTTACTTACTCTCTGTTTTTTTTTCCAACCACAGTGCCAAGACGTTATTGAAACTTCCTACCTATTAGCCAGGCAGCTAGCCGATGACGTGGACTTTAACTGCTATTTGTTCTCTGAGTTTGGAAAAGGCCTGATCAAGAAGTGCAGGACGAGCCCTGATGCCTTCATTCAGCTGGCTCTGCAGCTGGCACAGTTCAGGGTTGGTCAGCAATCAGTCACTGTCTGTCTTTCTAAAGATCTCATCCATCAAATCACATCATATATGTTGTTTTCTTCATAGGATCAAAGCGTGTTCTGCCTGACATACGAGTCCTCGATGACCCGTATGTTCAGAGACGGTCGGACAGAGACGGTGCGTTCCTGCACCTCTGAGGCAGTTGCTTTTGTCCGGGCCATGGAAGATCCATGTGCAACAGTAAGCAAAACAAACCCACATGCAGTGAAAAGTCACTCTGCTAAAACATGAAAATGCATGTCAATAAATTAGAAAATAAGAATTACATTTATTACAGATATTTCATTTGAAACCATAAAATTTGTGAATTTTATTGAAGTAAATGAACAGAAATTAAACTGAATATAAATAAATATCTGCAGTGACGTAGATATATATAAATATGAGTATTTGATTTTTTTTTTCATTAAATTGTCAAAACAAATAAAAAGTTCAATGATTTTTCTAAATACCCAGATTCACATTTCCTTTTATATTTACAGAATAAACAGTTTGGACACAAATTACATTAAATCCATCAAGTCACGCTTTGTACACATTTGTTGTTGTACATAATGTGAGGGGTCACACTGTCCTTGTAAGGTCCAGGTCACCCAGACTTAAAAGCAATGTTAATAAGCACCAGAGCCATGTCACGAGGTTTAAGCAACACATTTTGCCTAAAGGTCATTATTATATAATCATATTATAATGACATTTATCTTTATTTTAACTGAATTAACTGATTTTCTCTTGCTCTCTATGAACAGAATGCTGTCAGACTTGCATTGTTTCGGAAGGCAGCAGAAAAGCATCAGAACATGTACCGTCTGGCCATGACTGGATCTGGCATCGATCGGCACCTCTTCTGCCTTTACATAGTGTCTAAATACCTCGGTGTAGAATCACCATTTCTCAAAAAGGTTAGAGCTGCAATTTAATTTAGCTTCAAATCTTTTTATCCAGCATAACTTATTGGTTCTCCTTTCAATGCAAATGTTTCCAGGTGCTTTCAGAGCCGTGGAAACTGTCGACCAGCCAGACTCCTCAGCAGCAGCTTAATTTAGTTGATATTAACAAGTTTCCTAAATATGTGGGTGCAGGAGGTGGATTTGGCCCAGTGAGTACTTTGGAATTTTAACGGGTCAATAGTTCACCTTCAAAACTATGTAGTTTATGTTATAATTACTTTTCTTTTCCACTCCCAGGTGGCCGATGATGGCTATGGAGTGTCTTATATCATTGTTGGCGAAAATCTCATCACATTCCATATCTCCAGCAAGTTCTCATGTCCTGACACAGTAAGGATTGTTTTCATCCACCTGGAGACCCTTCATTGTGTCTCTCCAAGTTTAATCGTCTTTTCTCTCTATGTGCTCCTTTTCTATGTCAAACTCCAGGATTCTGGTCGGTTTGGTCAGCACATTCGGAAAGCCATGATTGACATCCAGGCTCTTTTCAAGCCGGAAAATAATAATAGGACGGTGGAGAATGGAAAGTACGTGCATCTGGAAAATGGGAAAAAGCACATGTAGGACTCTGTGGGGAGGAGTTTTGTTGGTGTGCTTCCATTAAAGCTGAAGTCTGTAAGTTTTTAAAAATCACTTTTTTGTCATATTGGCTAAAATTGTCCCTATGCCCAGACAGCAGTACATGTGATATGTAACCTGTGAAAAAAACTGCTTCAATTGGTACCGCCTACTGCCTGTATTTCAATCTGGAAAGAATAATTCAGGACAAGTCAAAACAACCAATCACAGCCAGAGGAGCGTCTGATGGAGTGTCAATCACAGCTCACACACGCTGAATCCCGCCCCCCCCCCCCCTCTGGTCGCATGCGGTAGCCGCGCAGATGCTGTGAGAGGGGTGGAGCTTGGAGGTGGGGCATGAGTGAAGCAGAGAGGGTGGGGGAGTGACGTGAAACCTGTTTTTCTTCAAATTTTCAGTCGAAGCCTGCTCTCTCCTCAATGTTACAGACTGCAGCTTTAAAGCATAGTTCGGCTGATATAACTGCACCTTTATTTCTACTTTTCTGGTCAGCTTGATCACAGGAGCTGAGCATTCCACTCAGACAAAGAGATTGGTTAGCACTCCTCTAAAGGATTTCTGTTTCTACTGTCTATTTTACATGCTCGAGCTGCTGCTTATTCTAATTTAATTTATATTTTTGTTTTGTTTTGTTTCTTGCCAGTGTCAGAAAGAGACTCTAAATCTAATCCAGCCTGATTTAAAACACAAAAGATTTTCTTTGTGGTGTGTTATTGATGCTTGTAAAACTTATATATTTTCTGTATAAACCTGCACTGTGTAAAATACTTTGTAAAATGACAGCTTTTGAGCATTTGCTTTTAAAATATGCAATAATGTTATTTTCATGTCAATAAATGACAAAATACCCCTTTAAATGCAGGATGTTTATGCCTTTAGTTTTAGGAACCAGAAACTAAAAAAAAAAAAAAAAAAAAAAAAATCAAAGCTATTACCGGTATATCAGCTGTAAAACTTAAAAAACAAAACATATATATTATTTTCATAGTTACTACAAGGACAATTGTCTACTGAAGAATCATAAACCAAAACATATTACTTTAAACTTTGCTTTGTCTTTTCTATTTTCTTAGACTGCCTACATTGTTTTATGATGTGGGTCTCACCAATAAAAAATAATTGTTGCCTTTTCATACAGTTTATTGTTCTTTTCACAATGAATGTTTTATTTTTTTCTGATTTCTGACTTAATATGCTATTTTTATTAACTACATATTAAGTTAGAAATGAGAAAAAAAATATAAAAAAAGGAAAAAAAACGGATTTCATTTTAATTTTTTTATTTTATCATCAATAAACCTATTGTTAATTTATAAAGCTGGAGTAAACAACATTTTGAAATTGCCCAGAAAAGAGCGCTTTATCACAGCTGATAGGATTTAAATAACATTCTGTATGAATCAGTGTTTAATGACTCTCCAGTCTGAAAATACAGACTTCTTCTGTATGTCGAATCTGATTGATTTATCAGTTTTGTTTTTAGTTTGGCAAAATCCTCCCACTTCCAACAGCATATTTTAGAACAGCATGTGAACTCACTTTATCCTTTAGCTAAATGATACAACACAAAATTTCAAATATTTTCAGACAATTCCTATCCCTTTGCTAAATTATATGTTCATACAAGAATCCCACCTTATGTTTAATAGCGATTGCAGTATAATATTAACACAAACACACACTTTAGGCATGAGATCAACATATGTAATGGTGAATGTAGGAAGTGTGGCTTATGAGGACATATCTTAACAACAGGATATTTGAAGAACTGATGATCTGGCATTGAATCAGTTTGTGATCTACGAATTCAAACACAACATGTATACAGTGAGTCACATTGAGCAGGAATTTAGTGTTTGTTTCTGTTTATTTTTATAATTGTGTTACAGGCAGCAAATGAAAACCCTAAATTCCTGGTGCTGATGTTGGTTCACCATCCCTTATCAGGGTTAAATCCATCAGAGCCACCATTGTGATCATTTTAGAGCACTTTAGGATTCCATTCCATCCGAGAGGCAGGACACACCCTGGACAGGTCTGTCGCAGGACAGCACAAAGACACACAACTATGCAAACTCCATGCAGAAAGAGCCCGGGCCCAGAATCCAATGCAGAACCTTCATGCTGAAAGGCAACAGCGCTACCTACTGCACCAGCGCCACTTCATGATTCCATCTGCAGAGAAGCTTTGAGGAGATGTTATAATTTGCATCTGAACAAAAGTAGCCAAACCTTGTTTGTTGTACGCTTTGGGCAGATGTAACTGTTTTTAAATGTGCTATAGAAAAAAAACGTTGACAAACTTGTTCATCGTTAATATGAAGATGAGAAACCACAGATCATACGATGCAGCTGAGATGCAGACCATTTTTAAAGAATAATCTATGTACAGAGCTACAGGCTGATAGTCTAATTAACACGATGCACTGATGTAATTTATGCTAAATGAGTCCACATATTTACAGTTGTCTAACTACGTTACAGTCGGTTTATATTTTTGTATTAAAAGGTCTTTTTATATCCATTTTATATAATTATAATTTTCTAAGTAACAAAGTCTGGGTTTTCATTATCTTCAATATTGCTGTATTAACTGAAATAAATGCAATTTTCAATGAGATTCTAATATGAGGTGAATCGGCATGTTGAGGTAACAAATTATACTTTTCCAAATTTACAATAGTCTCTCCGCTGCCGGCCGGTGACTATATCCCTGTAAAAATAGCAAATCCAAAATGTTTTAACGCATTTACTTTGAGCTGAAACCTTAAGATTAAAAACACAGAAGAGCAAAGTTTTATAAAACGTTTATTGTAAGAGATGGAACAGAGATTACATTGAGTTTCTAGCATTGTCTGATGTCATCCACATTATTTTCATCTATTAGATGAAAATGGAGATCTTTAACCAGATGGAAGCTTCATTGTCAGTTTGCTTTTAACACTTATCTGGCATCAATGTACCATGCTGCAGATGCCAAGAAAATAAACCGTTAGAGTTCACTTAGTGGATGATTCAAGGCTCGTGTATACATAATATTCCTGTTAATGTGATGCTACCTTGCAAATGAGGAATTTCTTTTCAGTGTCTTAAAAAAATAATCTATAACATATGGAGAAAGCACAACGGTGCAGCTACAACTCAGCTTGATTTATTTTAATTGCATGAGTGGAGCTTCAGACTAGCAGAAAAGGACAATCTTCTTTTTGATTATTTATTAGCATATGGGGGTACAATACAAAAGACAAATGGAAAAACAAGTTGTTCTGATGAAGCTCTGTCTTTTCAGCTTCAGCAATGAACTAAAACTAAGCTTTTTTTAACTGTACAAAGCGAATAAACAACAAAAACACCAACAGTGTGCTTGTTTGATGAGAGCAGTTTAAGAGAAAAGAGGCAATAGGTCTCCATAAATGAAGGATTCAAAAAGAATCCGATTATTTTCTTCATCACTCTCCTATCAGATTCTCCCAACCAATCAAGCACGGTTAACGTTACTGACAAACATAACAAATGGATTATGAGTATGCTCTAGTTCCTGCCAATTTCTTTTCATGGGGAAGCTGCAGCTTGAGTCCACTGGGTGGCGCCATACACTGGATAAAGGGCAGTTTCCACCTTGATGCATGCCAACCCAGTCTTTGTTTGTTGTTGTTTTTTTACTATCTTGTGTGAATTTGTCAGCACTCTACGATGGTTTTGTAGTTTATAAGTCTAAAAAAACTCTCAACAGAGGTTTTGGGGGTTCAGGTCTATGAGGCAACGAATCAAGGATTAGGAAGTTTTGCCAGGTGCCGGGTTGACATTCTGTGTGGCTGCTGGTGGGGCCACCTCGATGATTCGCGGCTTGTCGATAATGCGAGCCGTGCGGTTTCCTTTCTCTACGATCCCGATGATCCAAGCTTGGTGGCCCTCGCCGTACTTCGGAGATTTGATCTCGGCACAGAAGCGGGCAGCCTGCTCCCGGGGCAAACAGATCAGCAGACCTCCTTTGAATGGGAAGACAGAAAACAGTCAGAATATTGACTGAGATGGATTATTTTTGATTGATTATCTCTGACCACCATTCTGATTCTGATCAGAAAGACACTAAATAGTAGCCTGACGTAGTCCTACTCAATTCTATTCAGAATATGAGTCTGATACTGCTCCATAGAGCTGTGATTATGGGGCGTGTTTCGAACGAACCAGGAAAAAAATGCCTCTGCACTCAATTGGATAGACCTACAACCAATAAGGGGCAACGGAGTGCGTGACGTATGTTAAGCAACGCACAGTTGTTGTCAACAAAAATCAAAGCGTGCAGTTTCACGCCTAGAATAAGATGAGCCTTGATCGCGTTTCTCTGTTCCTCTTTTAAAATTTATTTGCTGTCGATATCTTCTAGAACAGACCTAATAGCAGAATCTACTCACCTCAACTCTCCAGCGGCAGCCATTGTTGTTGTCACCCAAGCGCGCTTTGGTGACGTGGTTGATTATGTTACTGTCCATTATCGTATAAAGCCCGCCCTGACAATTTGATTGGCCCGCCAGATATTGTGCGAGCATACTCGCGCTTCTATTAAGCAATACCAGACCGAACTTCCCGACCTCAAACGTTGTGGGCGGGACTAAGTTCGGAATGGCACCCAGGCTAACTAAATAGTATTTTATGTTGAAAAAGGAACGCATACAAAAACGTTTTTCAGCAGGACTGAGGTGTGATTTGGTGAGTTATTAAAAAAAAAAAAAAAAAAAAAAAAAAAAAAAAAAAACAGGCACGGTTACAAAGCAAAGCTTCACTTCATGAGTCTGTGTAGCATCTCTTACACCACATCATATAGAGAACGTTTATATGTCTATATTAAAAATATAATGGGAACTACGTATAAAGAACAAAAAAAAACTTGGCAATAAATGCCCTGACACAGTGTAACAGCAGTTGAGGTAATTTAGTTTATGTTGTCACCACTAGAGGTAGCTGTGGCACTTTTGATGCCATAAAGAAAGTTAATATTAATGCTTCTATTTTTAAATGTTATT